CTAAATGCTGTTCTGAAAGCTAGTTATTGAAAAAGTTCCCTAACGAGAATGAAATTAATTAGAGAGGAATTTGGTTACAAAAATCATGCTTAAAAGATGTATATTTCGTGAAACAATCGTATTTTAGGCAGTTAAAGAAGAAAATGTAATGTTTAATGAGGCATCTATTCAAAAAAGTTAAAAAATTAAATTATGGATACAATTCGTGAGATAACCAAACAATATTTTCGCACTGACTTGCCCCCCTTGCAAGTCGGTGATAAAGTAGAAATTACTACCAAAAATTTTAACCAAAATGAAAAAAACAAGGAGGATGGAAAGTTAAAATATCGGCTGACCCATTTTAAAGGCACGGTAATTACCCAAAAAAATCCCCACCAAATTAGTTATACTTTTTCGGTATTAAAGGATAGTAAAGGGAGCGATAAGGTAGCCATCAAGAGCATTTTTTCCTACCATTCTCCGCTCATTGTCAGCATTAAAAAAATTGGCAAAATTAACCAAAAAGTTCGCCGAGCGAAACTTTATTATTTAGAAAGAGAATTAGCCAAGAAGAAAGACAATATATAATGAAGCAAAAAAAAAAAAAAACGCTTTGGAAATTATAAATGCCGCCGGACAAAAAACGGGATTAAAGGGAATTGATGATTGATTAATCAACCCCCAGACCGACCACAAGAGCGATTGAATTTTTCGAGTAGAAGTTGAGCCTTTTGAACTTGCTTTGTCTGGCAAAAAGAGAAAAATTGAAACCATTGATTTTTTTGTGAATGCCAATCCTGGACTTATTTTTTTTCTCACTAATGCTTTGAAAAATGAAACTACTTTTGAACTTCAATGAATTGAGGAGGTTGGAAAAAAAATTGGATTTTCTGAAAACCGTCCGAATACCTTAGTTGTTGAAAGCATTCCCCTCCACTATGAAGTTCAGCCCACTCAAACTGCCTTGGATTTAGAAATTGATTGAGGAAGCATTACCGAAATTGAGAGAGGGTTTATTTTCTCACTACCTTCTCCAACTTCTATTACTCTAAATCACCATAATTTTACTTATGATAAAGTTTTTTGGCACCCTTCTTTTGCTGCTTCAAAAGATAACGATTTTATTAAGAAAAGATTAAACGAATGAAAAGACGACCAAAGACCTTTTAAGATTTATAAAGCATTTTTGGGTTTTGACAATTGACTTTCGATAAAAGACAGCAAAAATTTATACATAGTCGACCATAAGGGTCAAGGAAAGGCAACCGATCTGTCTGGGGAACTTAATAAAGAAATTCCTTTTATGGAGGGTGGAATTGCTGGCTGGTTAAAACTTCCCTACCAGCAACGAGAAAAATTTATAAGAAGATATTGAGAAGGCAACGAAGAAGTGAAGGGTATGAAAAATGAAATTGAAGACGCTATTCGAGGACTAAAAGGCAACAATCCCACCGAAAACCCTCGTAGTTCCACCGATAATAAAGAACTAAAAATCTTCCTTTTAATTGGAGGGATTATTATTTTCATTGGTCTTTTAATAATTTTAATTTACCGAAATTGTCCTCAAAAAAAGAAGTAAAAAAATAATTTATATATGAGTAAAAAAGCAGAAGATAAAATTAATAATCCAAAAAAAACATCCGAGAATTTAAAAAACTCAACTCCACAAAAAGAAAAAACCCGAAAGGCTAATGAGAAAGAAAATAATCAGAAAGTCGCTGAGCAAAAGTCAGTAGAAAACGAGGAAATCGCCAAACTTAAAAAAGAAATTGAAACCTTAAAGGAAAATAATCTCCGTTTGCTGGCTGACTTAGATAATCAAAAAAAAATACATATAAAAGAATTAGGAAAAATGATAAGATATAGCAGTGGCAGATTATTAGAGCAATTTCTCACTGTTCCGGATAATTTTGAAAGAGCAATCCAGGCTAGTCAGAATTATCAAGACCCTAAAATTAAAAACTTCTTAACTGGATTTCAAATGATTTTTACTGAATTCCAAAATACTTTAAAAAACCAAGGAGTGGAAGAAATTAAGATTAACCTTCAAAAAGATGTCTACAACGAAAAACTTCATCATGCCCTAGAAGTAGAAGAAAATAATGATTATCCCGAGGGAACTATTTTACAAGTTTTTCGAAAAGGATATTTATATCACCAAGAGGTTCTTCGCCCGGCCGAAGTAAAAATTAGTAAAAAGGTAAGTAAATAAAGACTAAAAATTATTAATATTAATATGAATGAAACGAGTAAAAATGTAATAAGCAAAAAAGTGATGGGTTGTGATTTGGGAACAACCAACTCCTGTGTTTTCATTCGCGAGGGTGAAACATGTAAGGTGGTGATTAATGATAAAGGAGGAAACACTACTCCTTCGGTGGTTCTCTTCAACAAAGAAGGAAAGGTAGTAGCCGTCGGAAAAGATGCCAAAAAAGAGGCTATTCTCAAACCCGAATTAGTGGTTTTTGAAGTGAAGCGATTGATGGGAAGGAAATTTGACTCTCCTGAAGTGCAAGAATTTCGCAAAATTGCTCCTTTTCAAATTATCCGAGCGGCAAACGGCGATGCGTGGGTTAAAGTAGGAGAAAAAGAATATTCCCCCCAACAGATTTCCGCCTTCATTCTCCAAAAAATGAAACAAATTACCGAGGATTATTTAGGGAAAAAAGTCAAGCAAGTAGTTATTACCGTGCCGGCTTATTTTAATGATGCTCAACGGCAAGCAACCAAAGATGCCGGACAAATTGCCGGCTTAGAAGTAATGAGAATTATTAATGAACCAACGGCCGCGTCTTTGGCTTACGGGATTGACAAAAAGAAAAAACTTCATACTATTGCGGTTTTTGACCTCGGGGGGGGAACTTTTGATATTTCTATTGTTGAAATTAATGAAGGAGTTTTTGAAGTAAAAGCAACCGCTGGTGATACTTATTTAGGTGGTGCTAACTTCGACCAAAAGATTATTGATTGATTAATTACGGAATTCAAAAAAGAAGAAGGAATTGATTTAAGTAAAGACAAAATGGCTTTGCAGCGGCTCAAAGAAGCGGCCGAGAATGCTAAACATGAACTTTCTTCCTCCGAAATTACCAGCATTAAACTTTCTTTCATTTCCGCGGATGCCAATGGTCCAAAGCACCTTGATAAAGAACTTTCTCGTCTGAAATTGAAAGAACTTACCGAAGACCTTTTGGAAAAATTAGTTGCTCCATGTAAAAATTGTCTCAAAGATGCCAAGATTTCCAAAGTTGATGAAGTTATTTTAGTGGGAGGAATGACCCGCATGCCCGCCGTGCAAGAGAAAGTGAAAGAAATTTTTGGTAAAGACCCAAATAAATCTGTTAACCCAGACGAAGCGGTAGCCGAAGGAGCTGCTATTCAAGGCTCAGTGTTAGCAGGAGATGCTAACGATATCGTTTTACTCGATGTTACTCCTCTTTCATTAGGCATTGAGGTGCAAGGGGGCATTAATGAAGTGATAATTCCCCGTGATACTACTATTCCAACCAAAAAATCTCAAATATTTTCTACGGCTGAGGACAATCAACCCAGCGTTCATGTTCGAGTTCTTCAAGGGGAAAGAACCAGAGCTTTGGACAACAAGGTATTAGGAACTTTTGAATTAAGTGGTATTGAACCAGCCCCTCGTGGTATTCCGCAAATTGAAGTCACTTTTGACATTGATGCTAATGGCATGGTTTCGGTTTCAGCCAAAGACAAGAAAACGGATAAGGAAACTAAAATTACGATTACTGCGGACGGTGGTCTCAGCAAGGAAGAAATTGAAAGAATGGTTAAAGAAGCGGAAGAACATAGGGAAGAGGACGAAAAAATTAAGTCTAATTTGGAAATTCTTAATCGGGCCCAAACCTATCTCTACACTTTTGGGAAGCAAATGGAGGAATTTAAGCAGCATAAGGATTTCAATGAAAATGATGAAGGTTTCAAAAAATTTGCGGAAATGTATCACAATTTAAAAGAGGCCACGGAAAAGGAAGAAAAGGATTATCCCGCCATTAAAAAGCAATTAGATAAGATTGAAGAAATGATGAAACTGGCTAACGAACTGGCTCAAAAAATGCCGAAGCAAGAGGAAAAAAAGAGTAAGGAGGAAGATACCTTGGATGTGCCACCTGAAAATGATGATAAAGATAAAAAATAGTAAAACTAGTTTAATTTTAATCTAGTTCATGGTCAAAAAAAATTATTACGACATCCTCGGAGTATCAGAAAATGCTTCAGAGGCGGAAATCAAAGCAGCCTATCGCAAAGCAGCTTTAAAATGGCATCCTGACCGCTGAACTAACAAGTCAGAAAAGGAAAAGAAGCAGGCGGAAGAAAAGATGAAAGAAATCAATCAGGCTTATGAAGTTTTAAGTAATCCAGAAAAACGCCAAAATTATGACCGCTATGGCAGTGCGGAAGGCTTTTCGCAAGGTCCTCCCGGAGGCGGATTTGACCAAGGAGGAGATTTTTTTAAAGACATTATTGACACTTTTTTTGGTGGGGGAGGCGATTATTCCCGGCAGAGAACCCAGGCGGGGGATAGAACCCGACCCCAAGCCGGGAGTGATATTTTAATTAATATCACTTTGAGTTTCAAGGAGTCCGTATTAGGAGTTAAAAAGAAAATAAGTTTAGAATTGGAAAGGGCTTGTGGTGCTTGTCAACAAACTGGGGCGGCTTCCCGCAGTGACATTGTTGAATGTCCGACCTGCCAAGGTCGAGGGGTAGTCAATACCATTCAAAGAACTGTTTTGGGAGCCATTCGCACCCAAGTTACTTGCTCTCGTTGCCAAGGTGCAGGAAAGGTGATTAAAAAAAAATGTCGGGAATGTGGAGGAAGAAAGTTTTTGACCCAAAAAGAAACCCTTGAACTCAATATTCCTCGTGGTATTCAGCCGGAAAAAAAACTCCGTTATCAAGGAATCGGTAATGATGGTTGATATGGTGGAGAAAGAGGCGATATTTATGTGTCAATAAAGGTCGGAGAAAATCCTTATTTTCAGCGGGAAGGCAATAATATTCGTGTCAACTTACCAATTTCCTTTTTAGATGCAATCCTGGGCGGCACCGCCGAAGTAATCGTGCTTGACCCTGATGAACCCGAAGGAATAAAAATAAAAGAAATTTCCATTCCTAGACTAACCCAAACTGGCACTCGTTTAATTATTAGTGGATTAGGCTGCTATACCGGTATCAACCACACCACTCGTGGTGATCTTCACATTTATTTACAGGTCAAATTACCGAAAGAAATTACTCCTACTGCGGAAAGAATGCTACGTAACCTCCAACAGGGATCTAGTTGAAATCCGAACCGCTCCTTTATCAAAAAAAATAAAGATATTGCTGGTAAGTAAACCTTACCCTAGAATAACCATAAAAATACAAGATATTACTAATACTTTCCATATACTTTTCCTAAAAAGGTTTTTCTAATTTACTTTATATATATTATTATTTTAGAGTTTTATTATCTTACTATTATTAATTATTTTTATAAGAAAAGAAGTCATAGATGTCTCTAACATTATTCTTTTTACTTAACAATCCCTTTATAATTTATCACTCTTTTTAATAGTTGAGTAATTTATAGTAAAAGTTAAAAACCAAGCAAAAAACAAAGGTAAAGTATAAGGAAGATAATATTTTTGTTGTTCCAACTTTAATTTTGTTCGGAGGTTTAGTTGTATTAATTGATAAATAATTTTTCTACTTCTTGGAAATTCTTGATAATGTTCAGGAGTTAATGATTCTTTATTAACCTCCCAAACTACTTTTTGGTTTTGTGGTCTAGGTTTAATTAACTCAAATCCCAGGGAATGTAAAACTCATTAGTCCAACTCATTAACCATTAAATCACTTGACTCTTGACTTTTGGC